TCCTCTTCTTCCTCCTGTTCCCTCTCCACTTCCTCTTTCTCCTCCCCCTCTTTTTCCTCCTCCCCCTCTTCTTGACCCTCCCTCTCCTCCCCCATATCTCCCTATTCTCCTCCCCTCCTTACTCCTTCCTCTTTCCCTTCCTCTCTTTCTGCTTCCCCTCTCATTTCAAGTATTCTTGAAATCATTTTGATAATTTGAATCTCATGGAAGGTCTGGATTTTATTAGTCTATGATTAGAAATCGTGCGCACTTGCATTAAAAAAACAAAACTCTTGCCTGTATTTGTTGTGCTTAAGTGTTCTGATTCCTAATTATAAGCATTTGTGGTTACCCTCAAATTAAGCTACTTCATCTCCTTTTCTTATTGTTGTGATTCTTACCCTACACCAAACACACACACACACACACACATACACACACACACACACACACACACACACACATACACCACACACACACACACACACACACACACACACCACACACACACACACACACCACACACACACACCACACACACACACCACACACACACACCACACACACACACACACACACACACACACACACGACACCCCGTGGGAGGCGGGGTGAAAGAGAGTGACAGCTCTATGTTCCAATGTTATTCCCATCTCTTAACATTAATTCCTTCATGGGGCCTGTCTCCTGTTTTCCTTGTTTTATTTTGTAGGTCATTTATTTTTTTTTCCTCCACAATCTTTAGGGGGAATATTTAGTCCATTTAATTTTGTTCCTTTGGGTTTGGTAATAGAATAATTAAGGCTATGAATTCTCCTCAAACTATAATGCAGGCTTTATCCATTCATTTTAACATATTCTTCCTTACTCTTTTCTAAATAATGTGTAATTATGCTTTTAAGATCTCTTTTAGCCTGACAGCCCTTAAGAGGGCATTTTTTAAGCTTCCAGCAATTTGGAAGTTTGGAGGTTGGGAGCCCTGTGTGTTTGTTTTTCATTATTAATATCTACTTTTATTGTGTTCTGGTCAAAGAATGTGGCCTGAATTATTTATGCCTTTTTCTGTGCCCTGGTAGTTTATTTGTGGCTTAAGTGTGGCTAACTTTTCAAACATCCCATGGCTTCTTGGCAGATGTTGTCCTCTTTGTTTACAGAGTAGGATGTTTTACACATGTCCCCCGCTCAGCCCTCTAAATTAAAGTCCGCAGCTCATCTGCCCTTACTCCTGTCTGCTGATCAGCCCCAGAGTCCAAGCAGTATGCCAAGGTCTCCAGTGCCGTGGTATACTTTCAGGCAGTTCTTTGAGGCACGGTGTTCCCCATGGGGGCTGTTCACCTCACAGTCCTCCTGCCTCACCCCACCACGTGCTGGGATGGCAGGCGTGGCCCACCACATCCCGTGCCAGCATCCATGGTCTCTCCATTCCAGCACTGTCCTATTTGACGAGCAGGCTTTCTCCGGTGTCCCACTTGAGCAGTGGGACAGCTTTCCCAACAGAGCCCGTGGCCTATCTGAGCCGGCTCTCACTCTCTGATGCTTTCTGAGTCCCGGATTCTCCTCTCTGGCTGCCTTTCTCGTTGAGTTGATGTGATTACCTTTTGGCTGACCATCAGAGAGCTGAGTGAGGACCATGGCTGGGGAGCTGGCCAGGCAGAATCGCTGTACTTTCTTCTCTAAGCACTGAACTGGGGGATGGGAGGAGGCTGCTATGTACTAATTTCTCTTATCTCCAGGGGTGTGTGTGTGTGTGTGTGTGTGTGTGCGCGCGCACGCATGCATGCCGAGCCTTCTTCGGAAGTCTAGAGCCGATCCTACATATTGAGGAGAAGCCCAACTTCCAGGGGCTGCTAGCATCTCCCTGCTCACAAATGGTTCTGGATTGTTTGCAGCAAGCAGTAGAAGATAGGCACAGAAAGAAAAGGTTCTCCCTGGCACCTACCTGCTGCCCATGGTTACCTTCAGCCCTGGCTCCTCCCCATTCCAGACCTGGTGTCCCTTAGCTAAAATGCTTTGGGGCCTGAGATGTTTCTGATTTCTGGAGTATTCACATATACATAAGGAGACCCTTGGAAGCGGGGAGATCCCAGGGTAAACAGAAAGCTCCACAGGTAATTCCACACAATATTTTAAACCTTGTTTCTTGGCATAAATTTTTCCACTTGTTGCCATATTAAACACTCCAAAGACTTTGGGATTCAGAGCTGCCCCTCGCCATCTTTCTTGCCACTGAGGCAGAAGACTTGGCAGAAACAATGTTTCTAAGAAAAAAAAAAAAAAAAGAACCTAGCTTTGGCTCACCATTTCAGAGGTCCAACCTGGCAGGGAAGGCACCCTGCAGCTCACAGCCGAGGGAGCCAGATTTTTCCCATCTTCTCGGTGTGGCTGGAGGTAGTGGGCATGTTCACAAAGTACAGCTAGCTGGCAACCCTCAAGTTCTGTGCCCCTTCTCCCAGAGGGTCTGTGACTGCCAGCTAGGACCCATGTCCCAAAGGCTTCAGTGTCCCAGAACAAGTTTCCAGCTAGGGACAAGTGTTCAAGCCCGTGGAGCATTTTTGCATGCAAATGGAATGCCCTCTCTATAGGAAGCACTGGAGACTTTTTCTTGTTTGGTTTTTTTGAGACAGGCCTTCTCTGTGTAGCCCTGGCCATCCTCAACTCGCTTTGTAGACCAGGCTGGCCTCGAGCTCACAGAGATCTGCCTGCCTCTGCCCCTGGAGTGCTGGGATTACAGGAGTGTGCCACCAATGCCCTGCAACACTGGTGACTTCTAGCGGTGTTCTCTTCTGCTTCCTGCCTGCAGAACTTGTACAAGAATTGTGAATTGGACGTTCCTTCCTGTGCCTTCCTACAGTCCTCTGGCTATTCTTTGTATGTTTGTTCATCCACTGGCAGTCCCGGCCAGCCTGGGGCACGTGGACAGTATAACCCTCCAGTTTCCAGAGGGGGTGCAAGCTGGTAGTTCTCAGGGGCTGAAAGCCAGCAAAAACCGCAACCTCCCCTCCCACCTTCTCCCTCTTCCTTCTCTCCCCCGCTTTAAACTGTGTACTTCGCCTGCACTGCATGTGTGTGGTGCCCACAGGGGCCGGAAGAGGGTGTCAGATCCCTGGAACTGGGCGTGAGCCCGAGTGTGGGTGTCAGGAACGAAGCCAGGTCTTCTTAGAGAGCATCAAGCTTCTTGACCTCTGAGCCACCCCTCCGCTCTCTCCTTCCTTTTTAAAAAGGTCCTGTAGAAGGTGCACATCTCTTTCGCACATACCACCTCCTTGGATGTCTGCTGACTCAGGAGATTTGGGGAGTGTCCGGAATCACACCCACTTTCTTGTCACCGAAGAGAAACGGCCTCCCCAGCTGATGTATCTGGGGAGAGTCTGGGTCCAATGTGAGCCCATGAGGCCAGGAGTGAGAGGCCAAGGCCTGGAGCTGGCCGTGATGACTGTGTTAGGCACAGCAACGGGAAGACACTACAGTCAAGGCTTCCCCCAGCCCTCCAAAGAAAGCTCGTGAGCACACAGTGGGCAGAGTGAGTGTGTCCCAGGAAGCACATGTCCTAGAGGGGTGTGGCTTTAGAGCCTGTGTGTGTATGTGGGTGGGGGTAGGAGTGGGGATGTGTGAGTGGTATTTGTGTGTGTGTGTGTGTGTGTGTGTGTGTGTGTGTGTGTGTGTGTGTGAGCCCGGACAGCCCTGTGTTCTTCCCGCCTCAACCTCTCGAGCTCTAGAGTGATAGGCGTGAGCCCCCGGGGCCAGTTGTTTCTGTTTTAGGAAAACTGAGGTTCAAGAACCTCAAGATCCTTGTGTTTGTTCATCACTCATTAATTAGGAGAACCAAATTCTGTGAGCATGAGGCCATCCCATCCTCCCTCTGTTACCCAGGCTGAGCATCCCCCAAATCCAAACTCTGAGAGTTTGAACACTGACGTACCTGTGTGCTTACACTTGGGAGCATGTACTAGTCACGCCTTCCCCATTGTGATAAAACCACCACCAAACACAGCAGCTTCAGGGCAGGGACACAGCTTCCCGCGCAAGCAGGCAGATCTGAGCTCCATCCTCCATCCAGTGTCTACATTAGAAGCCAAATGTGGCCACGTGTGTCTACAACCCAGCACCCGGGAGGCAGAGGAAAGGCAGTCCCTGGGGCCTGGTGGGCATCAGACTGGCATATCCCATGAGCCGCAGACCCTCGTGAGAGGCCCTGTCTCAAAAGAGCAAGGCCCCTGAGAAGCAGCATCAGAGGCTGACCTGGGAAACACATGCACACACGCACACACACACGAGAAAGAAAGGCTTTACTTGGATTCATCACTGGGAAGGATGCAATCTGTCCTGATAGGGAAGACACGGTGAGGGCGTGTGAGGCGCTGGTCACCAGGCACTGGTAGCTAGGAAGAAGAGAGCAATGAAAACCTGTGCTCACGAGGCTCTAAGGCCCCCTTGCCCCCTCTCCCCCATCTTTCAGTCAGTGTAAGCACACTTCCACTTAACTTTCTTCAGTTACACCCAGAGGTGTGTGTCCCGGTGACTCCAAATCCAGTCAACCGGAAGCGTGTCTCCGGGTTTGGCTCTTGAGGCTGGGGCTACACATCTGGTGTGAGCCTGTGCAAACATTCTCAAATCCTGGGAGGAAAAAAAAAAGTCCAAAATCGGAACAATTTCTGATTCCAAACATTTTTGAAAATGGATATTCACCCTCGCTTCTGTGCCAGCCTCTGGAGATGGAGGGTGGAGGGGTCTCCCAGAGAGAAGAAGAGGTGGAGGAGCCCCCTGACTCTGGAGAACGAGACAGGACCCTTGTCGGCACTTCAGCGTCTGCTCATCACACTCTTGAGGATGACATAGGTCCCCCCCAGAGTCCAGCACGCCCCTTCAGGAGGGACGCTTTCCACTCATCCAGCTCTTAGCTGTAGGTCCCTGTCACACCCTGGGATGAGGAGGGAGAGAGAGGGCTGCTGCGCCGCCGGAAGTCAAGGGTGCCCGTCTGTGCCCCCTCCCGCAGCATCTGAGCTGTGTCTCTGTCCCCACAGTGAATGGACACCAAGCATCAGGGACCCTGGCGCACCCTCCAGAGACTGCCCACATGAGTCTCCGAAAGTCCACCGGTGATTCCCAGGTAAGGGGCTGCCAAGGGAGGTAGGGGCCGCTGAGTGCCTAGCTCAGGAAGGGCACACTTGGGAGTCAGGGACGAGTCATGGTCCCTTTTCTGCCCTCAGTGGAAAGTATCCCGAGGCCATCCTCACAGATCCTGAGGAGCGATGGCTAGCAGAACTGCAGTCCGTTGGTTTGCCGGACTTGGATTGGAAAATGATGGATCCTAATTGTCAGGGCAGAGAGATCTACTCTGCTACACTCATATCCAATAGTGTCCTGGTTTCCTGTCTGGTTAGGAGTGTGAGGTAGCCAGGTCACTATCCTTGTAGTCCTCTGCTGTGCCCATCCTCGGTCACCTGGAAGGGAATTTAGGAACCTGACTATCTCATTCGCTAACCCAGCATAAAAATGGATACAGGATGAAGAGAATTAGGTGTGCTTTTATTTTTGTGTGTCAGGGTCTTATGTAGCCCAGGCTGCCTCCTAGTTTTTTGTTGTTGTTGTTTGTTTGCTTGTTTGTTTAATCCTCCTGCCTCTTGCTCCCACATGCTAGGATCGCAGGCTTATACCACCATTCCCAGCTGGGAATAAGTTTTAAGATTCTCAGAGTGCCCTCTCATTCGCCATCCCAATTGACGAGTGTGACGTCAGAAGATGGGTAGCAGCAGTATTTTCTCATGAGCATGGGACCACTGAGGAACAAGTACATGGGATTGAGTCAAGGGTCGAAGTGGGCCCAATGAAATGTCTTGTGATTTCCCTATTTGCAAGCAAGAAGGTGCATCTAAGCAGGGGGCCAGGGTAATCTCCTCACAAAGTATCAAGAAGATCTTCTTAAGGAAGCCTCCATGTCCTGCCATACTTTCTCTGGAAACAAGATGGCAGCCTACAGGGTCATGTGATGATGGTGGTGATGATGATGGTGATGGTGAGGGTGATGATGATGGTGATGGTGATGGTGATGGTGATGGTGATGGTGATGGTGATG